CATTCTTTACTTCCACAGTCAATTTCTCCAAATGCTCCTTCTGCCACAGGTTTTTTCTTTGTGTTTCTGCCACAAGACAGCCAGCCCAGTTAGACAGCTTTTCCATTTCCAGTATGTTTCTCCCTGTCTAATCTTTGTGTTTTACCCAGTCATGGCCACAGCCTGAAAAAACTGTTCCCTTGAGAAGAATATTGTATCTGCAAGACAAGTATTGTGCCAAATCACCAAATCTGATGCTCAGCCAGCCCTCTGAAAGTTTAGGAACACATTCTGCTTTGTTTCTGTGAAACAGACTTCATGAACCTTAATCTCACCCTTCATTCTCTTTCCCCATCATCATCCTCTGAAGCACTTTCACTGGGATTCTACTTGCCTCCAGCTTTGGCACAAATCCTCAGCTGCAAGGGACTACTTGCACTCAGAGTGTTCTGCTAAGCACCCCCATGAACTTTTCTCAAGTATACGCACTCAGGATCCTTTGGTCATACTTGGGTTCTCCATGGGGGGGGAAGGTACAAGGGAAGAAGAAACGTGTGTTGTTCTGCTTCTGTTCCCTGGACTGAAAAAGAAAATGAACCTGAACTTCCTGGGCAATTTTAAAATTATTCCCAAGATCTCCTAGCAAAAGTGTTCATGGCAATCAGTGTTCTCAAGCAATCTGCTCCACTGGTTCACCTTTTAGGCAAGCAGCTGTAAGTTTCCCATCTTCTCCATCCTCACTGCCTTACACTACTGACCCAGCTGATAAAACCTACCATTGACGCTGCTCCTGAACAAGATCCTAGGTAGAACACTGCCCTACCACTAAAGTGAAAGTTTGTATCTCTCTCCTTTCCTACTGATGGAAAAAGTCTGTAATCTTACTAACTGCAACAGCTGTAAATAGTTGCTGTTCCAAAGCAGTCCCACATGGCCTGGGATGGCCCTGCCTCCTTTAAACTCTTGAGATCCAAGAACAAACATTCTCACCCAAAGTCAGTAAAGCCTTCTGTTCCTTAGCTCAGTACATTCAAACTAAGTAACTCCTCTAAATAAATATTTTTGTCCAGTGTTTCACGAATGTTCTTCCCAAGCCAGAGTCTCCCATTCCCCTGCCCCAACTGACAATGGTCTCTTCACCCACATTTTGAGATTTCCACACTCTTCTTTCCTGGATTGTGTCCTGAGTTATTCATCTTAATAGTTCCCCTGGACTCAGCCTGGAACCTCCCTTTAAGTCACTTGCTCAGTCATCTAATCATACCCTTAATCCTTCCTGGCAAATCCAACCCCAACCAGCTACTCGAGCTGAGAGAAAGAAGGAAGCCCTGCCCTAGCAATTACATGGAACTGGTCCCATGCCCTTACAGAAATAAGGGCATGGAATTCCTAGATCATATTTCCTGATAGTAACTGTTCCTCTGACCACCTTTTTTTTGCTCTTGATAACTGCTAAGAAGATGTTTTTGACCTTTCTAGCTCTTCTTGAAGATTATGTCTTCCAAAATTATGTTCTTTAGCTTCCTAGGTGAATATATGGTTACAACGGATTTTGAGCTTTCATGAAAGGGGTCTGGAAAGTAGTCAAGGCTGGAGAGAATAAAAGTAGTTTTTCAACAAATGAACAAGCAAAAGCATTAAGCTAATGCTGAAAATGTATTTGATAATATATTTGGGGAAAAAGTCACAGAACACTGCTATTATTCCCAAATGCAAGACTTAAAAAACCAAAACCACAAACAAATCAGATTTAGACAGCATGCTTAATGCCAAAAGAAATTGTAACATCAACTCAAAATCCATTTAGGCTCATTATATACTTGGTCTTTTGGGGGTTTTTTGGTCTCAGAAAAGGTCAGTTGCTTTTTAAATAGCACAAAGCAGGGGAGGAAAACGATCAAATCTTTAATGTGCAAAAATAAAGCAGCACAAGACTCAGTGGGATGTTCTGGCACAGTTCTACACAAGTGTCATCACAGGAGTCCGAGGCAGCAGGAGAAAACACCTGCTGGCAAGACAATCTTGCTGAATACAGAGAACAGGGCTAAAGACACACAGGTGTTCAATAAAAAAATGGAAGTGGGAAATTGAGAGAATAAGTGTAGGAGTAGTAGTGGGAATAATATTTCTTCACATTTTGTTGTGTAATTTTGCTGTGTAGTAGTGTTTCAGTATGATTTATTGTGTAATGCTATTGCATAGCATCATTTGTTGAGCAACTTTGCTGCGTGGTATAGTTTTTTATTTAATGATATTGAACATTAGGCAATGGTCTTGCATGCCATAATTTGTGTTTTCTGTTGAGCAACACTACTGTCATAGCTCTTAACACAAAGGTGAATTGCATGAACTCACAACAGTGCTGAATTCACAATTTTAACATATCATAGAATAGTTTGGTTTGGAAGGGACCTTAAAGATCATCTACTTCCAACCATCCTTCCGTCGGCAGACACACCTTTCACTAGAATTTCAGAGCCTCATCCAACCTGGCCTTGAACAATTCCAGGGATGGGGCATCCACAAGTTCTCTGGGCAACCTGTTCCTGTGCCTCATCACCCTTGCAGGATTGAATTTTTTTCCTATTATCCAAACCTACTCTCTTTCAGTCTGAAGCCATTACCTTGTCCTATCACTACCTGCCCTTTTAAAAGGTCCCTCTCCTGCACCCCTTTGAGGTACTGGAAGGATGCTGTATGTTCCCTCAGAGATGGCAAATGGAGACAAGTATTTTTGTCTGAACAAAGAAACATGCAGAAAAGCAGCAAACAGAGCAGATATTTTTGCAGAACTTAGGGCATTAAAAATTATTTCACTGAACAGCCACACAGCATTACCTCATGAATAACACTTTCTTATCCTGAGCTACCTTGTAACTACAATGTGACATATTACATGTTTCGCCTATCCCTACCTGACTGTAAAAACTACAGGAGAACCTTGTTCCACACACTACTGGGTATAAATAAGAACTGTAATGTGTTTTTCACATGGCTTAGGCTCTACCCAAAACTAGCCTTGCAGGGACCTGCTGTAATCCAAAATCTGAACAAGAAAGTCTCCACAAGATATGACTGATTACTTCATTACAATGGAATCCTGCTTTAACAGCAGTGCTGCCAAACTTAAAGCGAAAATTAAAAATTTTCCATTATAAATCAGTACGACTTGCACATATTTTAGGGGCAATAACAATGTCATCCTACTACTGCTTAACATACTCCAAAGAAGCAAAAGAAAAAAGTTTGCTCCACGTGTAGTATCACAGTTAGTTACTTATCCTTACATTCTTTACATTTACTTGTTTTTTCTTCTTCATTTTTTCCCCTCTGATCATTTTTGCTTACAATAGACATGGTCTATTGACAGACTTAAATAACATTTTTGAAGTTCAGGAAACATATCAGAATGTGTAGTATTTTTTTCAAATAAATCAAGCAATCTATAAGGTTATCAACTTTGTACTCACATCTATATTTATATCCATCTGAAAATGCTATTGATTGACTAGAATAGCATCTCTTTCATTCATTACCTGGCAGTCTGTGGACAATTGTATGTTGCAAGAGTCAGAGAGCAAACACTGGTAGATTACAATGCAGTGCTGCTGCAAGCATTTTTATTTGCTCTCATATTCTGGCAGTTTTCAAAAACAGAAGAGAAAAATACACATGCAGGCTCAATTTTTAAAATATAGCAATACACAGAAGTTATGGAAAGGGAAATTGTGAAAAAAAAAAAGTGAGCTTCTTCCATCTATAACATAAGATTAATTTATTATCTGACAGATGGCAGAAGGGAGGGGGGGCGGAAAAGCAAAGACTGCTGATGCAGTGAGCTTCCCGTCTGTAATGAAGGCCCCACATTCCCACCTATCACACTGCCACGAAATACATCCACAGCTACATGCACACCAGTTTTGCTCTGTTTCAAAATAGCTAAACCTCATCGCTGCGTGGACAACGAAAAAATCAAGAAAACATCCAGGGGAGTAAATGATCCTTCTGCCAGCTGGCCGTGGCTACTCACAATAGCAACTGTGAAAGCGACTCCTTTCATTTGACACACGAGACAGAACCATTCACGCCGACCAATAACACTTCCAGAGGTACCGGGCACTGCAGCAAGGTACCACCTCATTTGCTGTCCCAGCACTGCAAGCCGCTTTTGCACATTTCTCCATGTTCCAAGACATTTACTCTTCCTTCAGCATATGCCACATTGCAGTCGTGGAGTGCCAATACAGGAGTGCAGCACATTGGAAAAGTAGAACAGCAGGACTGACCCAAACACACTTAATATAAAATTAAAAGCTGCTGCACTGGCGGTAACAACCATTTCCTCTTTTTTTTTTTTTTCTTTTTTTTTTTTTTTTTTTTTGGGCCCCCCCCGGGCCCAGGACTGACCCAAACACACTTAATATAAAATTAAAAGCTGCTGCACTGGCGGTAACAACCATTTCCTCTTTTTTTTTTTTTTCTTTTTTTTTTTTTTTCTTTTTTTTTTTTTTTTTTTTTTTTTTTTTTTTTTCTGAGCTCCACGCGATGCCGACGCGGGGCTCCCACCTGCCGCAGAAGCCAAAGACCGCCTGAGCTCCGGCACGATTTACCGGAGGGCCTCGCTTACCTCCGACATCAGATCCCCGTACGACAACCCCAAGGCACGCCGCGGCGGCAGAGAACCGGAGCACCAGGGCTCTGGGAAGCGGATTTCGCTACGTCCACCCGCGGGCGCCCGGGGGACGCGCTCACCTTGCCGCGGATCGATGCTCCGTGCACCCCGGGCCGCTACACGGGATTACGGCAGATAAATAAACACTGCACCGAGCGCACCCGGAGGGGCGAGGGGAGCGGGCGGGAGTTGGGGGGTCTGCCCTCGCCGCGGCCCCATCCCGGGGAGCCGGAGCGCGCTCCGCGTCTCCCGGGAGATGGAGCCATTTTGAGCCGCAGCGCATCAGTGGCAGCGGGCGGGGGGCGCCGGGCACGGCGATGGCGGGGCCGCGGCCGCCCTGGCGCGTTACCTCGGATGCTCCAGGTCCAGCGGTAGAACTCGAGGGTGTCGTTCACCACGCTGGACACCAGGCCCATGGCGCTGGGGGGCTCGGCGGCGGCGGCACCCATGGTGAGCAGCAGCAGCAGCGGCGGAGCCGGCAGACCTCTCTCGGCGCGTGCGTCCGTGCCTCTGCGCCGGGGCTGCTGCTGCTGCTGCCCCTTCTACAGCCGGGGATGTGATTTAAATCTCTATCTCTCCGTATCTTCCCTCCAGACTCCGCCTCGCTCCCGTCACCGGCTCCGGTGCCCCGCGGGCAGGGTGGAGGGCGCGGAGGCGGGGGGCGGCGCGGCGGCGGCCGCGGCTCCGCAGCTCGGTGCTCGCGGCTCGGCGCTCCCGGCTCGGTGCGCGGCGCGGAGCGGAGCGGAGCGGCCACGCCGCGCAGGCGCCCGGAGGCCCCGGCCGGAGCAGGTGCGGGCGGTGCGGGCACCCGCTCCTCCTCCTCCTCCTCCTCCTCCCTCCTCGGAGGGCGTGCGGGGTGGCGAGGAGGCGCTTGTTATCTCAGCCGGGCTTTTTTGTGTTCAATATAGGATTTTTTTATTTTTGATTTTATAGGGGGGAAATTGAGTGTTTCAGCCAACTTCTATTTCCTTTCTTTCTCTTCTCTTTGTATAAGTTTGGATTTTTCTTCTCTCCTTCTTGCTACCCCTTGATAGACGCGCCGTGGGTCCGGCGTGAGCGGTGCTGGTGTTGCCTCCGTCTGTGCGTATCGAGGCTCTTCTGCTGCTTCCAGGAGCCTTCGCTAAGATCCCTTCTCCTCCCAGTATGGATTACACCAGCAACCGCAACGGGACCTCGCTACCTCCCTGCCCCACCACCTGGTGGCACTTCCCTGACCGGCTTTCTCCAGGTGCCACCCAGCTGCCCTTCGCACACCTCCCCTTATCTCCTGGTCCGAGGCCTCTATGGTCACTTCATGGAGCAGAGAGATTCAGCTGCCTGGAGTGTTGCTGGGTGCTGCAGGAGGAGCATCCATTCTGCACCCTGTGTTTCAGTCCCAGCAAACCCTCTGTCTGGTGTAAAGGCACCACCTGCTCCTCACACCCTTTGCTTCTTTTCTCCTTCTTGGCAGCTTGTCTGTCCCATGATCTTACATAGTGCAGATGGCTGCATGACACCCTTGGGAGTGAGGGGCAGGAGGGGACCTGCTCCACCCAACTTGCAAGCTTTCCTCCTGGCAGGCGGCAGATCAGATGGTGTCTGCTTTTCCCTCCTCCAGTGCAGCAGCACCTCTGTCACTTGTTGTCACTTGGTCTTGGTGAGCACAGCTCGCACTCCTCCTCCTGGGTGAGTCACCCCCGGCTTCGCTCCTGCACTGCTCTGGCTGCTGCGATCCCAGCCCTGTGGACAGGAGAGGCACACTGGCCATCACTAGTTGCTCCACTGGAAGCAGAGTCACGGCACCAAAACCAGGTGGTTGGCAGTAGGGATCACCTACACTGGGAAAAGGAAGAGGAGCTATGTCAACACCTGGAGGCCTCGATGGACAGGGAAGTCCAACTTACCCCAATGCTGGCTGAAAGTTGGAGCAAAGCAAGGATGTCACGTGCGGATGTATGGACAGCTGCTACTTCTCTCACATGAGAACAGTCAATCAAAATTCTACATGAATTACAGTGACTTGAATTATGCCTTATTGTGATGACGCTGACCGTGGCAGAAGGTCTGGTGAGAGCTCTGAAATGGATCTGTCACTGGGTAGGGCAAGGTGAACACCAGCCTGCTTCTCAAGTTGCAGACAGACAGTGTAGTGTTAGCTGTGTTTCCTGCATCTCCAATAGGAGAAACCACTGAAGTGTATTCTTGGACATTTAGTATCTAGGTATGTGGTTAGCACTGTCTAAAGCACAGCTTCAGAACTTTTTGTAACATTGTCATTTAAATCAAAAGGAAACCAGGAGATTGAGTCATAACCCTCAAATTGGTATGTGGCCATTTGTGTTGGCCGCGTGCTCAAAACAGAGCGGCTACTGAGTGAATCAACGTGACAAAGGTTTGCACTTCCCGGCCCTGTTGGGCAAGATGTGGAGTTAGGAGAGTGCCACCAGCACAAGGAGTGAAGAACCACAGTCTACCAAAGAACAAAAAAAGAAACAAGACATATTAGCAATATGAATACATATTTCTGTTAATAATTATTTATATTATAGCTTACATATACTTACTTCTTTATTAAAATGCCTATTTATTCAGTGGAAGTTTTTTTGCACAACTGACACCAATAATTATTGTTTATAAAATGTTTATATCATCCAATTAACTGTTTCATCTATTTCTGATTAGGTAACTTTTCTTGATGGCAATTAAATCCTTTATATTAGCAATATGATTGTACATAGATAATTTCACAGAGCCATTAAGGCTTGAGAGGAGCCACAACTGAGTTGCAGAGTTTGGACAGCAGGGAGAAGATGAACTATCTAACCAGAGTGACTTCCTCTGTGCTTTGAGATTGCCTTAAAAAACATGCCGAAATTTATGGCTAACTATTTTCATTAGTTTGAGTTTCAGCCTGCAAATATGTGAATGTTCTTTTAAGATTAGGTCTGTGTCGGACTTCCAAACAAATCCCAGTTGTTTTTCTACATTTGTGCACCCAGCAGAATATGCTACCTTAAGAACGCTGAGACCATGTCTTCTACTTAAAGAGAGCAGAAGGAGGAAGGCATCCAAAGGCATAGTATCAATATCAGTATCAATCATATCCTCCAAAGAAATCTCCAGCATGAAAATGATGATTTTTCATTATCATTAGTTGGCCAGTGTTGTCACTTTTTACTTGATAATCTACTCATTCCTAAAACCTGGACATCTCAGATGGGCAAATTTCTGCTAGGAAAAAGCAGATCTGTGGCAGCTGATCCCAGAGGAACACACATATGAATTCCCAGCTGTGCTCCAGCCATTTGCCCAGCGTGCTTGTGCTGGCAGCAGGCAACTGTGTGCTTTGGGAAGGGTGCAGAAGGTAACAGGAAGTCGTGGGATAGGTGGCTCTGGGAAGCTCTCCTCCCAGTTCCCATTCCAGATACAAACCATTTGTATTTCTTCCAGATATTCTTGTAAAAAACCCCCAATGATATCTCATTTCAGAGCTGTTTCAAGCCATTTTCTGCTTCTTCATGAAACAAACAAACAGTGATAGAAATGTTACAATTTCCTGATGATCAGTGCCTTTAGTTGTGCTTGTAAAAATGCATTTATTCATTAATTTCAGTGAAGCATATGCTATCATAATGATTGATGAATCAGCAGATGCTTCTGCACTAGTTGAAAGTATTCCCACTCAGGTTTTGCTTCAGGTTAGCAATGAAATTGCTGTGAGGGGAAAATGTAATGCAGGTATATTTGGTAATATTTATGAAGTGTAGTACGAAGAAAGCAGTCAGAGCTTTGTATGTTGCCGCCAGTGATCCCTCCAGGCAGCTCAATAAAAGACAAAAACAGCAGTAAAAGAACTCTGCCTTGCTACAAAGAGAATCACCACAACCAGGAACTCACCTGGTGGGAAAGCATAAAATTGCTTGAATCAACACATTTGACAGATCTAAATGTTACATGATGTGGTAAGGGACAACCTATTCACTTATCAGCAAAAAAGTATTGTATATGTTGAGGCATGACCAAATTTAAATGTTGAAAACACATTTAACTTTAGAAATGTGTTTTAATTACTTGAATTATCAAATTCTCATGTCTTTTCATTTGATTCCATCAATGTCTTGGGAGGGAAATTGATTAAATAAATTAGCACATTAATTTGCAGTGAATGGGATTTTCTTGCACAGCCTATCCAATTGATATGCTCCTTGCATTAAAACTTTCGAGTTGATATGCCTTATAAAGACTGCTAGCTGAGCCAAAAAAGCTCATTTGATCTTTGAATCAACAAATACAGGCTCAAGTGTATTCATATGCAATAGTACAAAAGCTATCTGCTTCAGCGAAGAGGCTGATTTAAGGCAGTTTTACACTAGAAAAGCTTAAAAGAAGCTGGCTTCATAAAAACATAGTATTTTAAAATAATAACATTAAAACCAACTATGCATCTTTCAGCACTAATTAATTTGTTTATTACGTAACATACTGTTAATTCCATAATTTGAGGTGGGGTAACTCTGCACACAGGTATTCCACAGCACAGAGAGTCTTCCATGGCATCTGAAACAGATCTGGCTTTTTGTTTTCTAAACCATATGTTAGATGCCATCTGTCCTTTCGTACATTTCAACTGCATCAAAAGAATTTTTTCCAAACCAAATATATTGGAGTGATGCATCAGAAAGTGTCAAGAGATGGTAATGCTCAGTGCAGGCTTTGCCCAAAACTTACCTTTGATGTAAGTTCCCACAAGGTTCCATCTCGCTGTTGTCACCAGCACTGGATTGGATCTCTCATATGTGTCAACTTCATGTTTTGAACATCAGCCGTTTTTACTGTGGCTCTTACAGAAATATGAGAATTAAAGTATGTTTAATATCCTGGTTTAAATAGTCAAGGGCCAGAGTGACACTCCCAGTGATGTCAATGCAAGTTTTGTTTCCAAAGGGCTCTCTATACATATTGACATTTCTTCTTAATCTTTCTGCATAAAAACTTGTTGCCAAGAAGAAGATGAGGGAAGTGGTGGGCAGCTTTCTCCCAAGCCATATCAGGCTTGACTCTCAAGTAAATATATCTGTGGTTTGACTCAGGATCATTATATTTAGAGTTTTTTCCTAAACTGTAGAACAAACCCTATTTACTGCAGTCTGGGCAGAGACTGGAAGTGTTGGCCTGCAGTGCTAGGCTGCACTTATCTAAAACTGCTGCTCTTTGGTACTTGATCAGAAGAGGAGCCCTTAGTCCAGTGTTTCCCAGCACCATTCTGAGTGATTAATTTAGAATTGATTCCTGTGTGGGAAATGTCACTAACCATGAAGCTAATGTGTATATCCAGAATATGAGATGTGTTGTGTACCCAGCAGGTACACATACATTCATAGCTTTACCTACGTTTCACCTTCTTTTCAAAAATGAGTGTTCAACAGATGTGAGGATGACAAAAACCTGTATATATGCACTGTCTCACTCTGCCTTAACAATACTTTTCTTACATGGTTTCTCATACTTTTACACAGCTAAGATTTTTATCTGCAGTGATATCTGTCACAGCATCTATCATTTGTGAGGTGTGGCAGGCACGCTTTTGCAATGAGGGCTTCATATGTGTACATGCTGGAGAAGGACGATGCTAAACTATGGGCTGATGTTTTGAAGGCACTGTGTTGAAATGACAGCAACATGTATAGT